CCCCCCCCCCCGCCGCCGGGGGGGAAATCTTGGTAAAATCGAGGCTGGGGATGTGCAGGGCCGGAGTGTGAGGGGGGGAACCCTGGGATCAATGCATCGGCAAGCCCAGCCCCTTCACTCTCTGCACCTCTAGTCCTGTCCCGCGGGGGGGCGCTGGGAAACTCCAGCCTTCAGCATCTCGCTCCGCCCACACCCTTGCCGCCGGCTTCTAGTTCTGGGGTCCCCGGATCTGCCAGACCCTCACCCCTCTGCGGCTCTTGGGGCAAACATTTGGTGCAGCCAATCCCTGTTCCTCCCCTCATCTTTCCGGATCGTTGCCTCCCCCCTCCACACCAGGGCAATGGATGTCTAAAACAGCAGGGTCCATTCATTTGCCTTGCCACAAAATCCCTTTCTACAATTACCTTTTTTGAGCCGACCTTTTCTCTTTCTCTTTGCTTCTGATTTCCTTCCTGCAGATCTCACCTGAAACTTTGGTCCATGCTCGTAATTTGAATGTTTGTGTTTCCTTTAACAACTGACTCCCAGGGAGTAGTTACTAAACATTTGAGTGAGGGAGTGTTCTGCCAGGTGGGGGACTCCTGGCCAGTGAAGAAGCGGGCTGGGGCTCCCTGCCCCGAATACCCTTGGGGTTTCTTGCCGAATGTGGAGAACTGGGAGGCCAAGAACCAGATTTTAAGGGGATTTTTAAAAGTCCTTTGTTGAAGAAATGTCCAGAAAGGCCCTGGCAGCCAGCCATTCCCTGGGGGAAGTCACTTCAGTCCTGAGTGAGAATATCAGCAATGAGGATTTTTAAGCCGCCCCCCCCCCACCCCACCAACTCCCCTTGGCTGTAGTCCCCTGCTTATGGGTAGCTTAGTTTGGGGACTGGCTGGTTTCTTTCGGACCATGTATCTCAGTGCATGGGCTAATGTGCAGTCGAGCCAAGATAAAAATTCCTCACTCCAGCCCCCATCCTGCCCCATCTTATCTCCCACCACTGTCCCTGGCTCACTGCGCTCTAGCTGATCTTTTCTGAACTATGAACAGGTCGAGTTCATTATGCCGCAGGGCCTTTGCACTTGCTCTACGGTCTTGCTTGATACATGCTCAGTAAATATCGGTGGGGAGTGCAGCTTCCCTGCCCTCTGCTTCCTCCTTCCTGGTGTTAAGCTGGAGAAGAAGGTTGGGGAAGCAAGAACAGTGGCCTTGTCCCAGCTTCCCTTAACCAAGGAGGGTGGGTTTAAATCCACATACGAAATGCGAGGTGTCTGATTCTCTACTCCCGCTTCCCAAAGCCCAGACGACTCTGTTACGAGCGGAGCCTCAGCTGACCACCTGGGTCCCTTTTCTCTTAAGATCCTGGCGGGGCAACGAAGAGACCAGCGTCAGGTCTGTGTCAGACTTCCATCCCGACCACCCCTCCACCACTCGCACATCTTTTCTGTTTGCTGCTTGCTTTTAACAGTTGGTTTTCTGAGACGACGCTCAGGCAAAACGGACTGGAGCTGGTATTTGAGTGGCTGGCATACCATGGCGGCTGGGAGCTCTGCAGCCTGACCTGGGTTCAAGTCCTGCTCCGGGATGTCCTCGCTGTGTGGTCCTAAGCGAAACCTCAGCCTCTCTGGGCCTGCTTCCTCATCTATAAAATGGGGGTAATAACTGAACCTGCCCGCGAGAGACGTGATGTAGTGGACGTAGAGCACTCAGCACATTGCTTGGCCTTAAAGAGAGATTTTTATTAAAAATTATATATATAATTTTTATAAAGAGCTCTTGAAGGCAAACAGTCCAGACGGCTAGTTCAGGCTCCGTCATTCACTGTGTGACCTTGGGCAAGTCCCTTTTCCTCTCTAGCACAAAGTTCCCCTATCTGTAAATCATGGGGTGGTGGTGGGGGGGGGATGACTTAGGCCTCTAAAGGGGTAGATTTGGGCTCAGCACAGAGGAAGGATTTCTAACAAACATCAGGCTGCATGTGAGGTAGTGAGCTCCCCATCACTCCTAGCGCATGGTACAGAATGCCAGAACAGAAGGGAACCTCATGCGGCCAAGCCGCTTCTTTTGCAAGGGTGGCCGTCCGGGTAGCTACTCAGGGAGCAGACTGATCACAGACACAGAGCTTAAGTCCCCGGCCTGCGTCTTCATGCCACCTGCCCGGGTTCAGCTACGGGCCTGCCACTGACTAGCCGGGCCACCTTGGCAAAGTGCAGCAGCTTCCAGTAATCCTTCGTACCTCTCCGTCTGGGGGCTTGCTTCCTGGAGCAGCTGGACGTGCTGGAGAACTAATGCCCTTGACCAGACGGAAGCTGGTGGCCCAACACCGGGCTCCCTCACCCCTGCAGGGATAGCTTTGGACAGGCGCTGTGCACGGTTACCCGAGGCTCCCAGCGGGTGGAAGGTCAGTTGCCCGGGCTGGCCCGTTGGATAACACACCGTTTACTGCCTCCTGACCTTCCCCGCCTCACGTCCCCACTCCCGAGCAAGGTTTCCTGGAATCACCACCTACAGCAGCTAACTGCACTTGAGTCCTTGGCTCGGGGGGAACCCAAACAAACAGAGACAGAAAGTTAACCTCTTGGACCTCATTTCCACTGGATGGAAAGATCCAATGAGTTAACAGAGATAAAGAGCTCACCACCACCTCGGCCCGGATGTTTGTTTAATACACGGAGGGGGCAGGGAACGGAGATAAAGAGGCTTTATTTACACAAAACACCACGCCCTGCCCTCCGATTCCACGCTTCTCAGCGAAGACAAATACCAGGCGATAAAATAATCTTCGGGATGCAAACAAGCATTACACAACCAGAGGGGCAGGTCGCCGTGCCGGCTGAGGGTGTGGTGTGGGCCGGCGGAGAGCCTAGCTCGGCCAATCCCTCCCTCCCTCCCTCCCTCCGGCTGCTGCGGCTGCCAGCAAAGTGCCCGCGGGGGCACAGACTGGCCCCGAGGTAGCTGGCTGTGTTCATTCTGGGGCTCCTGTGCTTAACAGGAGCCCCCGGTCTCAGCGGTTGTGTGGGAACCAGACAGCAGCCAGTCGTGGCTTGGTGATCCCAGTCTTTCGGGTCCTTTTGTGTCTGTTACCGCACTTGACTTCGCGCCCCGCCACGGCCCAGGTCCCGCCCCCAGGGTTGACCTAAGGAGGGTCTGTTGAATGAATGGGCACCTCCGGGGAAACGACCACCCTTCCAGGACCACGACGTCCCATCCATTTCCCAAGGTCTCCCAAGTCATTCCCCGGTGGGCTCGGCCTCCAATCCGGTGAGACAGCGGCAGCCGATCCCAGAACCCGGCAAGACATGAGTAACAGAGTGACGAGCGGACAAAGCGCACCCAGGGTGAGCGCGGCAGGGAGGGCGCGTGGACCCATGAAGTGGCCAGTGGCTCGTGCATAAGCCGAGGCACCCAAGGAGCTCCCGATCCCCGCGGGGGCCTCTCCCCCGTGCCCTCCACTCCCTTGGGTTGTGGCGAGCCCAGGCCAGGGCTGGGAGCTGGGGGAGGGGCGGGGTGGAGTCCAGTCTCTGTACCCCCAGGTCAGACCACCTCCCAGCTTCATAGCAGGGTTCTCCAAGTCTTTGGCAAATCCGCCAGCCTAGCCGCCTTCCAGGAGGCACTTCCCAGGCCAGGCTAAGGCCCAGCCGTCACTCGAAGACGGCAGTGACAAGCGGGCACGCGCCTAGGAAGCCATCGTGCACGTGGGCTCTGGGGAGAGCATGGCCACCTTTTTGGGGGTCTGGCTTGAGCTGTGAGCATGGCTCAGGGCAGGCTGGAAGCACAGGGAGGACGGGCCCTCCTCTGAGACAGCCAAGGGTGCCGGGGAGGCTGGAGAGAGGCTGGCCTCCAGGGGCACCCCACCTGGCAGGGGGTCCGGGGCCCTCAGAGGGCTCACCAGCGGCGAGGACCTGTCTCCACAGCAGCAGCCGCAGCAGGGGCTGGCCACGGGGTGGGCCTCACCACCCTCCTCCTGGCCGTGACACTGCTTCAGGTGGCCACACAGGTGGCAGGTGAGGGCTGAGTAGACAATGCCGCTGGCCAGGTCGTCCCGGAGGGGGTCTGCGGCCTGCTCCGGGGCCGGCGGGGTCTTGTGGCTGTCCTGCGCCTTCCCTGCTGGCTCTGGGGAGCTGCCCGGGAGGGGGGAGTCCTGCGGGCAATGAGGTGGCTCCGAGTCCAGTCCGAAGGTGAACAGGGGGACGGGGACTGGGGCCCCAGGGCAGCCAGGAGTGAGGCTCTGGAAGGGCTTGTAACCCCCGTCCCCACTGCCGGCCTCACCCCCGGACGTCTCTGGGCAGACGGCACTGCTAGTGAGCAGACTCGAGAAGGCCTTGTACCCGGCCTCCTCCGAAGGGCCGAAGCCCCCCACCCCGCTGTCCTGGGTGCTGCCCTGCCTCACGGCACACACAAACTCTCGGTAGCCGCTGCCGGGGGCCGGGGCCGGGGCCCCCCTGTGCTGCAGGACTCGCTGACGCAGAATCTGCTCCCAGGTCTCTGGCTCGGACTGGAGCGCGGAAGGCGGCTCCGAAGGCTGGGGGGCGGCGGGGAGGCCGGGGTCCGCCTCCCCCAGGCGTCCCGCCAGCTCGGGGCCCGAGTCACACTCGCCGGGACCTGAGGACTGGCCCTGGGAGGTCCCGAAGCTGCGGTAGGCGGGGTTGTCTGTGACGACCGGGGGCGTCTCTGGGAAAGTCGGGCTGGCTGGGCTCTGGGGCAGAGTGGCCAGAGGATCGGACCGGGGGTCGAAAGGCTGCTCCTTGCCCTGGGGCGATGCCTCCTGGGGCCCCGGACCCGGAAACTCAGCCCGGGGCATCTGAGCACCTGCACTTCCCGAAGGAGGAGGAAACCACGGTTCCAGCGAGCCCTGTGGGCCAAAGCCCCCTTTCTCAACCCCGAGAAGGTCCAGGAAGAGGCTTTCTGTCAGCCGGGCCGCGATGCCCTCCCTGCCCTCCTGGAAGCTGTCCTCGCGGTTCACAGGCGATGGGCAGAAGCTCCTTTCCTCCTCCTCCTCCTCCTCCTCGCTCTCCACTGGGGCCTCCAGGAGCTCCACACATCGCACCACGCTGATGCTCTCGGGCCAGAGGATCGTCTTGCTGACCTCCACGGGGCACCATGCTGATTTTCCAGAACCCTGCGAAGGCCCATTTCTGGCAATCTTGGAGGGATCCTCTTTCCTTTCCATGCCGTGTTCCAGTAAACAGGGCAGGAGCTTCCTAAGACAAGTCTTCCAGTGTCTGCGACAGCAAAGAAAAGTTTGGTTGGGATTCGCTTTCTCTGCTGGAAAAACTCCTATTCGTCCTTCAAAGCCCAGCTTAAAATCAGCCTGGACTGACGTCTATCTAATGCAGACAGGCCTCCTGACTTTTTTTTTTTTTTTTTAACATTTATTTATTTCTGAGACAGAGAGAGACAGAGCATGAACAGGGGAGGGTCAGAGAGAGAGGGAGACACAGAATCAGAAGCAGGCTCCAGGCTCTGAGCCGTCAGCACAGGGCCCGTCACAGGGCTCGAACTCACGGACCGTGAGATCGTGACCCGAGCCGAAGTCGGACGCTTAACCGACTGAGCCACCCAGGCGCCCCTGGCCTCCTGACTTTATAGTCAATAATCTGTCAGTCTGACTTCCCTACTAGCCCAGGAACTCCTTGAAGGCAGGGCCCGTGTCTCACTTTGAGATTTCTGGAGGCCACACACACACACAACCTGGCACCCGACACAAACTCAGTCTACGGAATAAGGAAAAGTCTCCGTCAGGGACGATGACATTTAAAAATACTTATCAGGTTGACAATAAACTTCATACATTGAAAAAAAAATACTTATCAGGGGCACCTGGGTGGCTCAGTCGGTTAAGCGTCCGACTCTTGATATCAGCTTGGGTCACGATCTCACGGTTTGTGCATTCGAGCCCCACATCGAGCCCCACGTAGGCATGAAGCCTGCGTGGGATTCTCTCTCTGCCCCTCCCCCACTCGTGTGTGCGCACGCGCTCTCTCTCTCTCTCAAAACTAAAAACAAAAATAAAATAAACTGAAAAAAATACTGATCAATTTAAAATATTTATCAATACCACAGCACAAGTAATGACCGGGGCTGTGGGGTCCTAGGCTGGGGCAGTGTCCTGGGACCCCCGTGCTGTGCCAGGTACCAACTCTTTAGTTACTAGACTGTGGGTCATCCAGGGACGAGCTAGGGGAGGCAGGGGCGATGGTCACTCAGGGGTTCCAGAGTTGGCAATTCGCCAACCAGCACGCGATGCTGTGGCACAGCCGTCCGGCTCGTAACCTCTACCAGCCTGGCTCAGGCCAGACTGCGCACTTCCGAGGGGGTTCGGCCTGGGCCTGACCCCTGGGGAAATTCAGGGGGCTTAGCCAACATGCCCACCTACCCAGACCTCCTCTCCCCCTGCCACCCTCCAAGCCCAGTGTCCCAGGGCAAGTCCTGAATGCTCAGGAGGAAAAACAGGTGTGTGCGGGGGTGGGGGTGTGGTCCTACCGCCCCACTTCCAACATCCTCCAAATCCACACAGGCTGTGACCTGAGTTCATATACATACGGGCACTTGGCTGGTTCCTGGCCTCGGGACCGCTTCCCCCACAGCGACACCTAAAATACAGAGACAGCCAATGAAATGGAGTGGAGAGGCCTTGCGGCCCAGCCTGGCATACGGCACAGCTCAGGGAGTGTTTGCTGCAAAAGGAGTGTTCGACGTGACATCACATAGGCCGGGGATCCAATCGAGGTCACTTCAGCTCTCTGAGCCTCAGCATCCCGTGGGATCGACGAGACTGCCCAGATATCAAGTCGCCGGGGCGGATGGTAAAAATGGCCACGCTGCTCTGAAGCTCCTCCCACCCTCTGAATCTGGCCTGGGCGTGTGACTCGCTTTGACCAACAGGATGCCGCGGAGTGACATCGGGCCGGCCAGCTCGAGGACGTCGCCACTGCTCCAGCGGACAGTCAGCCAACTTCCAGACCTGTGACTGAGGCCACCGGGAAGGGGCCCATCCCAGAGCCTTCCACCCCCACCACTGCATGGAGCCCAAACTGCCCACCTGCAGAAGCAAGTGCTAATTTAGAGTGTTTCAGCTCTCTAAATTTGGGGCTGATTTGTTACACAGCAAAGCTCACTGATACATGAACAGCACTTATTACGTGCAGGACCCTGCGTATAAAATATACACTTTATACGTGTCGCCTCCATGAATTCCAGTATCAGGTAAGCACTACAATAACCCACGTGAAGAAACTGGCTCAGAGAGGTTAAGCAACATGCCCGAGTCCACACCGCAGGTAAATGGCGAAGCCAGGGTTCCAAGCCAGACCACCGGACTCCAGAGCCTGCCGGCGGGTCCCTGGAGAACGGAGGACACTTGGATGTTCTGTTCTAGACAGGGCTTGTGTCCTCCCTTCCCTCCCTCCTACAGAGCCCTGAGATCACCCAAGAAACCCCACGTGGCCATGGCATTGGAGAAGCTCATCCACCCTTAGTTCAGGGGTATCCATCTGGCTGGTCTCAGAGCATCCCCACTCCCTTACTGGTGAATGCTTTAGGAAAGGGCGTGTGGTACAATTCAGACCGATGAGAATCGAGGAGAGATTTGCTCGTGCTTTGGGGGCAGTTTTCTGCTCGTAAGAGGAAGACACAGGAAGCCTGTCCCCAGCCCCCTCACCTTTTGGCTTCTTGCCCTGGTACAGAGACCTTTCCAGGAGATGACCCGGAGGTGACCTCAAGGGTCACCTCCTCCCGGGGGAGATAAGACGCCAAGCAACCAACCCAGAGGAACCTGGCCCGTCGGAAAGAATAGCCGTGGAAGCTAGGGGGCAGGGAGCAAAGGCCTCTGGGCTCCTAGTGACCACACGAAGCTGCTGAAATCCAGAAACCTTCCTGGCTTGTCATGTGCAGTTCCAAAAGGCAACAGCCTCCCAGGCATTTTGAATCCTGCTTCCTGATGCGTGCGGCCTACAAAGCGCTAACCGACCCACTCTCCTACCTGTGGGTCCTGGATGACTATCGCCACTAGGTGGCTGTGGGCGGGGTTGGGAATCTGGTCCCACCATTCTTTCTTAATCCTGAAAAAGAAAAGGGAGAGTTATTGAGGGGCGCCTGCGTGGCTCAGTCGGTTAAGCGGCCGAATCTTGATGTCGGCCCAGGTCACGATCTCACAGTTTGTGGGTTCGAGCCTGCGTCAGACTCTGAGCTGACAGCCCAGAGCCTGCTTGGGATTCTCCGTCTCCCTCTCTCTCTCTCTCCGCCTCTCCCGTTTGTGCTCTCTCAAAATGAAAAAAAAATAAGCATTAAAAAAAAAGAGTCATTGGGTGCATGAACAGGTTGATGTTCTTTCCGTGAAGGGGTCAGGGACCACGTTGAGAGGGTTCGTGGATGCCTTGCCCTAACCTCATTCTATAGATGAAGACACCAAGGCCCAGAAGTGAAGTGACAGCTGGACTGTGGGCAGAACGGCCAGGTTCTGTTAGCCAGGATGGAGCTCCTGATGTGGCCACCTCTGCCCTCCGTGGGAATAAGCCCCAAGGAGTTAGGAGACACCCAGGCAGCGGAGAGAGAATTCTGGGTTTCCCCATCAGCAATTCTGCCCTCCCCGGGGCAGCCGAGACCAAGATGCTGGGGTGAGGCCTGGAATGGCCAGAGCAGTTGAGGGAACCCAGAGAGAAACGGAGTCCTTCTCTCCGCCTGGTCTGTCCAGAGCCACACAGCGTCAGTACTGGGAGGGAAGGTTCTCACATCACCTCTGGCTGGCTTCTTCCCGCTTCACTCAGTCTGGCAACACATATTTATTGAGCATTTGCTATGCACCGTTCACTGGTCCAGGCGTCGGGAACGCAACAGTGAACAACAAGACAGACAAAAATCTCCGCCCTGGCGGAACTGACCTTCTAGAAGAGAGCGACCTCAGCCATGGCAACTTCAGTGTCATGAATAAAAACACAGAAGAAAGGGAACAGAGAGGAATGGAGGGTGTGCTCGCGGAAGGCCTCTTGGAGGAGGGGACTTCT